TTAGCCTCCCATTCAATATACTACGATTCGACATTTACCCCGCAATCTGGGGCCTGGAGCAAAAGTGTCATGGTCTGAATCCGTCTATCGCTAGGAGAGCGGTGTAGACAACTTGACATTATTGGAGTGCGATACCAAATCGTTCCAGCACATCGGAAACCATCGAACATATAATGATGGGTCACCCAAGCTGGCAAAGTGCTTCAGGTGACAACCGTCGATGGAAACACCCATGTGGTCAGCAAACTTGCGGCTCGCCGCGCGCAGAGTGGCTGGGTCCAAGGCCAGGAAGCTCGGCGCCTGCACGAACTGCTTTTGAAACACTTACTGCCTGAACCCCGCCTCCCAAAAGCCAGAGATGCGAGCGGCCTCCGACCCCAGCAGCGAGAGCGGGTCGGCTAGAAAATTCCCTTCCGAGCTCAATGTAGAACTGGGGCACCCTGGCTGCGAGCCCTTGATGATGGAGTGGGCCCTTCGAGCCCAATTCTCGATGTTGCGTTCAAGGAAGATCTTCAATTATTTCGGAGACGCCGCTCTCGCCTGAGCCAAGAAAACCTGCAACGCGGTGTCACATGTCTTCAAGAAATCCTCCGTCTTCTCCCAATCCTGAATAATTCCACCTTCGCGCAAGAATCCCACCAGCCCTTTGGGCGTGAGTGGTTTAGGGAGCTTTCTCTGTTCTCAACCCCCCAACCCCCCTTCTTCCCCTTCGGGGAGGGGTTTACCCCTCCCCCTACCCCCTCCCCCTGGGCCTGGACAGGGAGTACCGGGTGTTCTCAGGGGGGTCTTGTTCGACTCCTGGGAGGGCCAAAAAACGACGACCCTCACGAGGATTCTGGCCCCGACGGGGGGGGCGAGTTTGGCCCCTCTGCTCTTCTTTGAAGCCAAAAACATTGATTGTACTACGGTTTTGGCCCCATTTTGGCCTCCTGAGGGGGCCGCGCTTCTCTTCCTCCATAGCAAAATCGTTGATTTTACGAAGGTTTTGGCCTCATTTTGTCCTTTTCAGGGGGCAGCGCTCCTTTGCGCTTCAGAGGAGGTCGCAAGAGGCCCCCAAGATGGCCCCAAGAGGCCCCCAGGAGGCTCCCAAGAGGCCTCCAAGAGGCTCCCCAGAGTCCCCCAAGAGGCCCCAAGAGGCCCCCAAGAGGCCCCCAAGTGGCCCCCGAGAGGCCCCCAGAGGCTCCACGAGGCCCCCGAGAGGCCCCCAAGAGGCCTCCAAGAGGCTCCCAAGAGGCCCCCAGAGGCTCCAAGAGGCCCCCAAGAGGCCCCACGAGGAGCCCGAACGACTCACACCAGGACGAGGGGCCCGAACGACTCACACCACGAAGAGCCCGAACGACTCACACCAGGAGGAGGGGCCCGAACGACTCACACCAGGACGAGGCGCCCGAACGACTCACACCACGAGGAGCCCGAACGACTCACACCAGGACGAGGGCCCCGAACGACTCACACCACGAGGAGCCCGAGCGACTCACACCAGGAGGAGGAGCCCGAACGACGCACACCAGGACGAAGGGCCCGAACACCTCACACCACGAGAAGCCCGAACGACTCACGCCAGGACGAAGAGCCCGAACGACTCACACCAGGAAGAAGGGCCCGAACGACTCACACCAGGACGAGAGGCCCGGAGATATGCGGGGGCAGGCGGAAACAAGCCTGAAAAACACGACTGTCGGCATGCTTCGCAAGAGTTGCTGTTTTGAGATGGGCTGGTGGGGATACGCGAAGCGTGAAGAATTGCTTATTTCGGAGCACCAGGGTCCAAAAGCCTCCAAAGAACTTGACAAGGGACCTATCGTGCTCAAAATGCATCTCGAAGACGTCGAAATCGAGGACCTGTCTAAACCTGGAAACCAACCACCATTCAGCAGCAAACACTGGCCCACCTTCAGGCCGAGATCTGGTGGACTTCAACAGTGAGGCCCAATGGGTCCATGGATGTTAACGCCGGAGCCTATGAAAGGGAGGTCGCATTGACGGGTGTCGTGCAATTCCTTACCCGAGAGGTTTGCCCAACGACGATAGATTCGGGTTAACTCCGACTGCGCCCTCAACGCATCCCCAATTCGACGCTTTCCACTAAGCTCTGGGCCTCGCGCTCTAGGTGCTGCTACTCTTCCGATGGTCTCCTCGCAGCTCCTCTTGCCGAATGAACTGGAATGGGCAGCGGCTGCCTGAAAGCCAAAGCACGAAGACTAGCCAACTTTGGGAAAGACAGAGGCAACGACGGGGTGTAATGCGGGGAGACGCACGAAGTGAGATCAGCATTCGCTTCCTTAAACCTTTGCCTACCCTCCCCCGACATCAAAAAGTAATCATACATGGACAAATCTCCCGTCCCCGAACAAGTCCTTTGGACTTTCCCAGGAATCACAACTTGCCAGTGTAACCGGCCAGTGACCCCTGACCTGACCAGCGTGTAGGGAATCACGTTGAAGTCACCAATGATCGAAGGTACACCTTCGATAAATCAAAAACCTTGCCTAACATATCGAAAATAGAATCCAAGAGGTCCTGACAGAGGTGCAGATAGACGCTGCACACGCTGATATAGCATGCCTCCTTGGGGAGGTGGACGATGGCTGGGGACTGCTGGATGGTGGCCACCGAACTTGGCACAGACATCCCCATCCAAGCACGAACGAAGATGCCCGCGCCTGTTGACGAACCCGCAGCCGATGTCTGAGTAGCAGGGGCCAACATGGCATGGAAACCTTGCTGACGAGACCGTCAACTGCCCTGAAATAGCTTGGTATGGTGTTCCTGAAGGAGAATAACCGTAGCAACAGACTAGGGAAAAGTAACGTGAAAGAAGCCCTACTCAGGCAAATGAGGAAGGCGAAGCTGGAGCCTGAGGACATCACAACCCAACAAATTGGCATCAAGGCGTGCGAGAAGCGGGAGTCAAAGCTGCAACGCGATATAGGCACGTCAGGTTCTGTCACTACCTCTAGAGATGAGGAAGGCGAAATTGGAGCGCTCTCAGCAACGCGAGCGAGAAGGCGCACAGCGGCCACTTACGAGAAGCGTGAGGCAAAGCTGGAGCCCGAGAGCGTACGCCAACAGCAACACTGGCAAGTTCAGAGCCCGATGCCAGCTACAACACTGGAATCTGGGTGGGGGCTGTGGAGGTAGGTGGAGCCAACTGCCCTCAGCTACAGACTAGCCTTGTGCGCAAGGCCATCGGCATCTTCTCGTCAGCTACGGTGCTGAATCCAGCTCGTGTGAGAAGGGGGCCAAATGGAAGCTCGTGCGAGAAACGCTTCAGCTGCAGGCCGGAGCTAGCTTGTGCGAGAAGGTGGTTGTGGGACCGTGGAGCAAGTTCTCAGCTACAGTGCGAAGGTTCGGGTCGTGCGAGAACGCAGGCAGTGACAGCTGACTCTGTTGCTGGGTGGGGTCGAACGAGACATCTCAGCTACAGTGTCGGGATCAGCTCGTGCGAGAAGGCCGTGCCCTGTTGTGTCTGGCTCGGGGACGGCCCGTAGCGTCCATGAAGTCGGTGAGGTAGGTCACATGTGGCCTGTCAACCGTTCGAACCGCTCGAACCCCGCTCAAGCCCTTCCGCAGCGAAAACCCCCCCTCACCCAACACCCCCCTACCCCCTACCCCGAAGTCGGAGAGGGATTCAACCCCCTATCCCTCCACCCCTCGCCGCGTCGTCGTCGTTTGCCAGCGCCGGGCGTCGGTCGGAAGGGCGGGCGGGGCACGTTGTCGACGTCGTCGTTGGCGAGTCGGTCGGGCGGGCGGGATACGTCGTCGCCGTCGTCGCCGTCGCTGCTGTCGTCCGTCGGCGCCGCTGTCGTCGTCGTCGTCGTCGTCGTCGTCATCGTCGTCTGCCAGCGAGTCGGTCGGTCGGGCAAAGGCGGAACACGTCGTCGTCGTGGGCAGTCGGGCGGGCGGGCGGGACGCGTCGTCGTCCTCTCGTCGTCGTCGTCGTCGTCCTCGTCTTCGTCTTCGTCCTCGGCGGCGGCGGAGCCATGGGCGAGTCGGTCGGTCGGGCGGGACACGCCGTCAACATTATCGTGGGCGAGAAAGTCGGGCGGGCGGGCAATACACGTCGTCGTTGTCGACGCCGACGTGGTCCGGTCCTCGCCGCCGTCGTTTACCGGCGCAGGGGGGGGGGCTAAAGCGCCAGAGGTGGGCGGCCCCCCCCCCCCGCGACTCTCACTCTGACGCTCTGGGGAACGGGGGGAAGGGGTGAGGGGTTTCGAACCCCTACCCCCCACCCGATTTTTTGAGGGGAGGGGGTTGGACCCCCCCGCATTCTTCCCAGCGTGCTCAGAAGGACAACATTTCCAAGATACTTGGGCGGGGCGCCCTCAGCACGAATTCAACACTCTGTGTGGGAGCGAGACCGCACCTGAAGCCTCAAGGGAATCGAACTGGGACGACCGTTGAGCACACGTGATCCGTGAACGGGCAACACACCCAAACACACACACACACACACACACACACACACACGCGCACACACACACACACAAACTTCGTCCACAATCCACCGTTCAATCGAAATGCGCCGAAGACGCGCCCCAATGGCCTCTTGGAAAGGGCGACGAAAAGAGAAGCAATACTCGTGTCTACGCGGCGCTTCCATATAGCATGCAATAAATCTAGGCACACACACACAAGTACACGACGAAATGACGAGCGTCCTAAAGGACTCTGCGCTTTTATGCGTGGTGCGTCCGCTGCTTGCTTCTGCGCAACCCACAGAACGCGTGTACCACGAAGATCTTGCCACATTGGTGTTCTGGCCTGCAATGTCATGCTGTTGAAGCGGTTTGAGCCCTGCCCTTACCAGCACTGAATTTGGCACGCACGCATACACATACACACGAGTGCGTGGAAGGTTGATACAATCGATTTGCCACTACCCAGCACTTTCGAAGACCAGCTGGCGAACTTTCAGCCGCATCCTTCACCAATGGCTCTCTGGAACAACGACAACGACCAATATAGCAAAACGACAGCGCGGAAAGAACTGCGGGCGCCTCCAAGGACTCGAGCTTCACCTTCATGGCCGCGCACTCCTTTCAGGGGTACGGAAAAAGGGTCTGTGCCTGACCAGCGGGACGAATCGGATGCACGTGTGCACTGCGACGTGCTGCGACGATAGAGGCACAATAACGACTCGCTTTAAGAGGTTCCTCGGGAGTGAGCAAAACAAAGAAACAGAGAAGGCCAAATGCCCGCCCTCGTAATATCAGGGCACGTGGCCACGTTCGAGATCAGTCAGGCAGACAAGCACAGGGCAACGTCGATGAGGACGAAGGGGAAGGCCCTCCAACTGGCGGTGCTGTGCACCTCCTCTTCATCCTCCTCCTGCTCCTTCACCGCCTTCTCCACTTGCCAGGGGCAGAACTCCGAATCGATGGACACGGATAGATACTGGCGGGGAGACCTCCTCGTCCTCTTCCTGCCGCATGGCCAAAAGGCGAACCTTGTGCTGCTTCATGATCGATCGCGCTTGCTGTAAACGGAACGTGGGAATGAGACCTTTGGTCTCTTGAAGATCGAGCTGTCGGCCGAGACAGAGAGAGACTTTGCTCTTCAGTGTAAACTAAATCGAAACAAGCCGGAGCTTGACGTTCCTGGCCCAGGGGAGCCAAAATCCCGAAGCGATCCTCTTCCTCTTCATTCTCATCCTGCTCCTCCTCCTCCTCCTGACGCTTGTCCTGTAAATGAACTTTGCGGTGCCATCCCGCCGCCTCACTACACTCTGCACATCACACTCCTAGGCCCCGACCACCTTGCGTGGTGTTTGGTCCCTCACGAGCCTCTCGGGTGTGAGGTCACCGCTCAGCCTGGCTGCGCTAGCTGCCCATGGTGTTGCGGGTAGCGCCTTCGACCAATGCTTGATGCCTTGCGGGACGCCACGGGCTTGCTGGCCCTTTGGGAGCGGTGCTTCGTGGGATCAACTGCGATATAAATGGACGATCTGACAAGGTCGAGGGGCGCGCCAAGCCGCACATGGGAGGAACAGAAGAGACGACCTGCAAGTGGCAGAAAGTTTCTTGGTAACCGCCTAGACGGCGTACGTAGAGAGGAGGAGTCTAGAGGGCTAGCATCTTCGAGCTGAGCGCCACTGGCTGCACCAATACTGCGAGAGGCCTCAACCCTGATCATTGACTTGCGCCATTGCCCCGATGTAGTGCACGAAGGTGCTCACGGCCTTCAATGCGGCTGCTGCACTCTTTTGTAGAATCCCGCGCAATGCTGATGTCCTGATGTTTCTCCCTCAGGAATTCCGGGACTTCTACAGCCCTTGTCGACTCCAATTTGAGATGGTGACTGCTGCGGTCATTGCTCAGGCTGATCGGCAGCTGCGTGACCGACACAGGGTTGCCGAGCAGGCTTGGCGGTCCTGGGGGCGAGACGCTTTCCTCGGGGACTCAAGCAAGGCCCATGGAGCTTCTAAGGTGCGAGGGTGCCAAGAGGTCCTCGCCTTCGCTAAGGACACACAGCCTAGCAGATGGCCGATAGGACACTCGACTGCTGGATCGACGTCTGGACTTACCATGGCATGGAAGCCTTGCAGCTGCCCGCTGATCACGGTGAGTGACCGCAGTTACCAGCGAGCTGTGCACGGCAAGTGAAGAATGCTATTCGTTGCTTTGCGATGCGCGCCGCTGCTGGGCAGACTAGGCTGGCTGCGCGCACCTTGGACCTGCTGTGTGACCAGGCCTTGCAGTGGATCGACTTGATTATGCTGTTTGAAAGATGGCGACTGTGGCCTCCCAAGCCATGACGGGAAACACGATGTATCGATAGTAGCAATTCGAAAGCACATGGGTGGGGTGACCTCAGGGGAACATGATCAGCAGAATAAAAGGACATGTACCAATGAGAAACTGTGTGAGAAACGCGAACGGATCGCCCCTCCACAGACTCGGCGATCGGTCACAACCTGAATTGTCAAGAGAACAACGGGCATCATGCTGGACATGATCAAATGCGTCGATACGGCCAGTCCACATGCACTCCTCCGCGAAGCGTGAGAGATGGGCTACCACCTGAGGCTCCAATGGCTTCTCCAGGGCATCTGCCAGCAAACTCGGAGGATCAAGGCTTTGGGGAGCGTCTCTCCAGCCTTTACGGCCCATCAGGACATTATGGCTGGGCTGTACGCATGATGCGGACCTCGTGCACCTGCTCATGTATTATGCGGTGCACTGCGCTCATGGACGATGTTAGGCTGCAGCACGTGTCGCCCAACATCGGGGAGGTGGTCAGGTTGGCCATAGCGGCCACGACGCTTGCTACGGATGCGGTTTCCCTGGGACTGCCTTTGAAGCCTCCAAAGCCAAAATGTATACCTGAACCAGCTAACCCCTCGAGCGGCACTTGGACTCCATGAGACACCAGCACAGGCCACGAGCTCCCAGGATCCCCCGAGTACTGTGACACATGGAGACGCGGAACTTGAAGCAAAAACATCGGCAACGGCGGCACCGCTTTCACATGCGTAAGCCGGCTGTTGGACGCACGGCGGCCAGCTTGTTGCGCCCGGGCGCCGTTCCATCAACGGCTCATTTTGCTGCATTTGCTGGCGTCAATGATGGCACCCATCGAAAATTAAGGACTGCTTCTAATATGCTGGACAGTGTTCCCGGGAAGTCTCTCGTGGGGGAGATGGCCTATATGAGTTCACAATTGGGATGATTAATTCAACTCTTTATATCATGCGAATACAGACCGGGTGCTTAACCAAATGCGCTGGGTGGAACTGGGACGGCCGGGTCCAGCCTAGTCGGTTGCATCATGCTTCTGTTCGTCTCAGGGAAAGTTCGGGGAGAAGCAGTCCTGGGCCCTAGCCAGGGGCCTCATGGGGGCCAAGTTGCTTGCTTCGGAGAAGATCCTGGAACATGTTGGCGGCACGCGTCCTCGTCGATGATCTGGGCACCAGCGTTAACCTCCACAAGGTTTGCCCAGCGGACCTCTGTGGGTTTCTGCAGAAGGGTATCCATAGGTGGCAGCATTCACGATTGTAGTCTCATGTTCGGCACGAGGCTGACGTTTAGCAACATGCGTTTCGCCATGCAATGCTACACATAAAGTGTCCGCGCTGACTGGGTACTTTGCAGGCGCTTTGGGCGGACAACCTACCCATCCGCCTCGCCGCGACATTAGAGAGGAACGCCAATTCGGACGTCAGTCTCGTGGCAAATAGCTCGACGCGTTCTGGGACCACATTTTCTATGACCGCCCTGCCCTCCGTGACGTGGGCCGATGCCTAGAACTATGCCCTGCCCGAGCAGCTCACAGAGGTCCGAGACAGACTCCAGCAAGCAACCTTACTCTTGGCAGTCCAGATTGGGATCAAAGATATGTTCCAGAGGCTACTGTTGGCCTCCCACATGTCTTTACGGTACAATCGGAGAAGGACAAGTGGAGATATTTGCAGGGCTCATGGAAATCCGAATATTTTGCAATTCTCAAAGTTGGGGAGACACGGAGATGAGAGGTGGTCAACGTGCCAGCTAAATCCAGAGCCGTGGCTCGCTTCCTGTGCGTGCGATGCTTGGAGCCTTGGCCTACGCATATGGTCCAGAATGCTGGGCGTGCTGAACAACGTGCTATCAAGATGGGGCTCCATGTTAATCCTGACCACATGTGCGTTCGTTGCTGTCCTCGACTCCCTGGTCACAGAAGGCTCTGAATGGGCCCCACGACTCGAGAATGGCAGATCAAAGCACGCCTGCGTCTGGAGAGACACTGTTTGTGATGCGCAAGTTGGAAATGGAGAGCTGCCACCAGTGCAGTTCATTTAGACTCCAACGCATCGGCGACAGGAGGATAATTTCGACCAGCCTCAGGAGCTGGAGACCCTTTCGCGGCAATGCCTGGGCTGACAAGTTTGACAAGCTGACCGGGAGTGTTGCTGCAACCCTGGAAGAACACACTAAAATTCTTCAGTGCGGTAGGTTCGTGCGGCGTCGGCGCGCACCCAAATTTTTGGACACCGCGTCGATCGTTCAATCGTGAATCGATCGCGGCCCCAATCGTTCAATGTTGACTTCCGTTGGGTCCAATGGCGTTACCGTGTCCCTCAGTGCTTCCGCGTCGTTCTACCATGCGGTGTTCCCGCGCGCCCCCCGTGGGCACGAGCGCAGAGTTCAACCTTAAAAATCTTCGACGGCGTCGCCGGCGCGCCAACGCCGCACGAACCTACGGTATGTCGATTGAGCCGTCTTCAAGGTGGGGCAGTTCCGAAGGGACGGGTGTAATGTCATTATCCCTCGGGAGCCTCACATCAGGGTACATACCATCATCGAGAATCGAACGGACATGTACTCCCACCGGGTCTCATCGAGTATGGCGAGGGATTTGTGTAGGAGCTCCAATGGGGCATGGGACTGAGTTAGGGGTAAATTTCTGCGTCAGGGCATAACGTTTCGTTGTGGGAAATTTGCGTATTGCTGCGGCAAATATGTTGGACATTGTAGCTCTCGGAACTCAATGCGGACTCCTGTGAGCAACGCAACCCGTGCCTAGGGCTTCCAGGGGTTCTGAAAACACTGCGCAACCAGCTCACGGCGATCGAAAAGATCAGCCGTTGGCTAGAGCCTCGACAACGAGGTGCCGTCAGCAAAAAGGCCGAAGCTGTTACCTTGCCCGTTCTGGCTCCTGGTCGGCCTTTTGCAGGTCTGGAATTATTAAGGGTGTTCTATTCCTGGGCCGCCCCGCTCTTCTTCCAAGCTTCGACTTGTCCGCCGCACCTGCTAAAATGGGTGCGGTGTGCCGCACACTTCTCTTGCAAAGTGGGTGATTTGTGTTGCACGCACGCTCCGCCTACGAGGTCGGTGATTCGTGTTGCACGGCTCGCCTCGGGTCTCACGATCAGTGGGTGTTCGTGTACGCGGACGCCCTCCTGCTGCTCGCTCGCTCGTCCTCCTCCCCTCCCTCCTCCCAGCACTCCTCCTCAACGTCCTCCCCCTCCAGACCTCCGACATCCGACGCCCCGTTTTCTTCACGACGCGGGCTCCCAAAGCTCCAGAATCACCCCTAGGGCCAAGTTTTAGTCCTGGGTAGTTTTGTTGATTGTCCCTGGTCCCGCAGGGGGATACAAAGCAAGAACATGTGCGAAACACGAGTCGCACCGATCTTTGAGCAACGCCTGGGTGACCATGGGCCAATCCTGGCTGTCGGACCGTCACTCGGGCCTCGGGCGGCCGTTCAGCACGATCATGGTTAAAAAATGCGTCGACGAAACACAACTGAAAGAGAAGGGTCAGAGAAACACGGAAAACCCCAGAGCACCTCCTCCTACCTCAACTCCCGACCCCATCCCTCGGACCAACTTTCATCCTGAGCCGATGTTCGATCGCCATGGGGCCAAGGAACTGCCCCCAGTCAGGATTCGGAGAGGGAAGAAGAGAAGGAGAGAGAGAGAGGGAGAGGGAAAGGGAGAGATAGAGAAAGAGAGAGAGAGGGAAACAGAGAGAGAGAGAGACAGAGGGAGAGAGATGAAACGACAACCAAACAACTCGGGACCGAACAAATCACGATGCTGACGTCTTTACGGTCGCCTCCCTCGTCCCCCTCCAGGGGAGAGGGCCTCAAAAAGGCAAACAACATCAACGAGGCGGCGCGAAGCTCGGACCCGGTCTACCTCTGCCCCTATGCTGGGCGGCTTCGAGGGAAAGTCATTGCGGGCTTGACAATGTCTGACGTCTATCGACTCGCGCCGGCGTCTTCGGCGATCTAGCTGTCGGGATATCTCTGGATTTGTCTCGGCTTGTCTGGGTCAGCTTCAACCTGCATCGATGCATATGGCAACAGCAAATTCACGTCGCCATGCCGCGGGCGCTGGTCCCTGACCCCGCGTGGACTGTCCACACTTGGAAGAGATCGTTCCATACAAGCCGGGTGCCACCCTGGCTACCAACCTCCAAGAGGGTTCTCTGAATTTCCTGAGGGTCGTGGGACAAGTGAAAACACGTGAGATCTGCACATCCAGACAGAAACCCTCGCAAGCTGCAGTAGAGTCCGCTGCCGAGGCCAGAATCCCTCACAAATTGCGCGATACTCGCGCTGCCGAAGCCACAATCCCTCGCAACTTGCTTCATACTCACGCTGCCGATGCCACAAGCCCTTGCAAATTCTCCATATTTCGCGTTGCCGAGGCCACACTCCCTCGCTACTTGCGCCGTGCTCGCGCTGCCGAAACCACAATCCTTGCACATTGCGCTAATCCGCGCTGCCGAAGCCACAATCCCTTGCACATTGCGCTAATCCGCGCTGCCGAAGCTACAATCCCTTGCACATTGTACCAGATTCGCGCCGTCGAGGCCAGAATCCATAGCAAATTGCGCCATGCTCACGCTGCCGAGGCTACAATCCCTCGCAAAATGCGCCATACTCGCGCTGCCGAGGCTACAATCCTTTGCAAATTGGGCCATGCTCGCGCTGCCGAGGCCACAATGCCTAGCACGTTGCGCCACATTCGCGCTGACGAGGCCACAGTCCCTAGCAAATTGCGCCATGCTCGCACTGCCGAGGCCACAATCCCGTGCAAATTGCGCCCCGTGCTCTCGCTGCCCAGGTCAATCCCTTGCAAATTGGGCTAGTTCGCGCTGCCGAGGCCACAATCCCTTCCAAATTACGCCATACTCGCGCCGCCGAAGCCCCAATCCACTGCATCGTATTCGCGCTGCCGAGGCAACAATGCTTAGTAACTTGCGCAACACTCGTGTTTCCGACGCCACGATCCCTCGCAGATTGCACAATACTCGCGCTCTCGACGCCACAATCCCTCCTACATTGCGCCATATTTGAGTCTCCGAGGCCACGATCGTCTGTAAATTACGCAGTATTCGCGTCTCCGATGCCACGAGCCCTTGAAAATTACCGATGGTCGCGTCCTCGAGGCCACGATCGCTTGTAAATTACGCCATGTTCGCGTCTCCGAAGCTACATTCCCCATCATACGCCGAGAAACCCCAAGACCGTCCAAGCCGCGCGATTTTGCCCAACGTAGCCTCAGGCAGCCCACAGTCGTTCCAAGTGGGCAGCCGATACACAGCATGATGGGGAAATTCACAAAAGGCCGCACCGAGTTTAACGCCATCATCTGAATATCGACTTGTCTTGAAGATTACCAGTAGTCCTCGCACGAAGTTTCGATACTGCTTCACGACGGCGCCCAGGCATCCCAACATGGCTCCTGCATATTCCATTATGATGGGGAGGTGGCTGACGGCAGCGGGCGAAGCCCTGACTGATGTACATATATGTGTAGATATACGTAAATACAGATGTAAATGCATGTATATATATATATGTGTGTGAAAAACTTATATCAGAGAGAGCGAGATCCACAGCCGCTTGGCTGTGCAAAAATCCCCTCCCCCCCCACTCCGAAAACCGCGAGGGTGAACTACCGGTTCGAACCCCCCCCTTGAGAAAACCGAAGGGGGTTACTACCGGTTCGATTCCCCCCCCTTTACTCGCCGCCGGCAAACGACCCCCCAGTCCCCACCACCGTCCTCACTATTGCCCTCATCACTGTCCCCACCACCACCGTCCCCACCACTGTCCCAGTCCCCAGTCCACGCTACTGTCCCACTGTCCCCATTGTTCCCACCACTGTCCCCACCACTGTCCCAACTGTCCCCACCAGTGCCCCCACCACTGTCCCACTGTCCCCACTGTTCCCACCACAGTTCCCACCGCGGCCCCACCCCACTCTCCTCACTGACATCACTGTCCCCACCACTGTCCCACTGGCCCCACCACTGTCCCCACTGTACCACTGTCCAATTGTCTCACTGTCCCACTGTCCCAATTGTCCCACGGTCCCCACTGTCCCAACGTCCCTACTGTCCCCAGTGTCCCCACTGTCCACTGTACCACTGTCCCATTGTCCCACTGTTCCACTGTCCCCATTGTCCCACTGTTCCCACCGTCCCCACTGTCCCCACTGTCCACCACTGTCCCACTGTCCCCACCGTCCCGACCACCATCCCCACCACCATCCCCACCACCGTCCCCACCAGTCCCCCATCCGGAGTGGGTGAGGAGGGAGTCGTTTGCCGGCGGCGAGGAGGGGGGAGGCGGGGTTCGAACCGGCAGTGACCCGCCCTTGTCATGATGGACTGGGGGGGGGGACTGGTTTGAAACCCCCAGTGCCCCCCCGGTTTTCGAGGAGGGGGAAGATGGGTTTGAAACCTCGAGTGACCCCCCCGGTTTTGTGCCAGCAGCGGCAGAACACGCTCTTTCTTGTATCACGATCCCCCTGATCGTCGTTCTCGCCCCCTGCCTTGCCGCCTTGCCCATCTTGCCACCCGATCCTCGATCTTGCTCCCCATCGTTTCCCCCGATCTTCGAAATCGCTGGCTTTCGGAGCATAACTCAAGCCCTCGGCGGCCGTTCGGGACGAGCTGTGCACCCCCAGAAAGCTCTCGGCGAGGCGCAACCGCAGAAGCAATCCGCCGAGAAGAAAAGAAAACACTAGAAAACCTCGACCCTCAAACCTCCCCCTTCAACGCTGCCCCTCAGGGTGCCCCCGATAAGGGGTCGATGCATCATGGTGCACCCCCCACCTGAGACTACTCCCCCCCGAAAGTTGCCGTTGACATAAACGCCCCTGCCGCGGGCGACGGGCCCCTCCCCTCGAAGCCTCCCAAATGGGTTCGAAGTAGATGGAGTCGGAGCAGAACGCCACATCGCCGATGCATCGGCGACGCTGGCCTAGAACAAAAAACGGGGTCGACATCGAGCCGCATCGCCGATGCATCCGCGATGCGGCGCGATCCTCCGGCCCATACTATTCCGATCCCATCTGGAAGGGGAGGCCTAAACAAACGTTGCCCCTGGGTGACAAAAAAGCAAAAAAAAAAAAAAAAAAAAAAAAAAAACGCCGCGGGCGACAGGCCCCTCCACGCTGACGGGGTGTGAGACACCCCGCGCGCCCAAGCGCCTCCCGGGCCTCGTCCCTCTCCCGGGCGGCGGCCTGCAGCTGCTCCTCGGGTAGTGAGGCCAGGAGAGGAAGGGAGGAGGGAGGAAGGAGGAGGACGGAGTGGGGAGGAGGAGCGAGGGAGGGAGGGAGGGAGGGAGGGAGGGAGTGAGGGAGGGAGGGAGTGAGTGAGGGAGGGAGGGAGGGAGGGAGGGAGGGAGGAGGAGGAGGAGGAGGAGGAGGAGGAGGAGGAGGAGGAGAAAAGGAGAAGGAGAAGGAGGAGGAGGGAAGGGGAGAAGGAGGAGGGGAGGGGAGAAAGAATAGGAAAGAGGAGGGTTGGAGGGAGGGAAGGAGGGAAGGAAGTGGGAGGGAGGCAAGGAGGGAGGGAGGGATGGAGGGGGCGGAGGAGGAGGAGGAGGAAGAAAAAGAGGAGGAGGAAGAGGAGGAGGGGAAGGAGGAGGAGGAGGAGAAAAAGGAGGAGGAGGAGGAGGAGGAGGAGGAGGAGGAAGAGGAAGGATGCAAAGCAATTCTGGGGTGCAACAATTATGCGTTCCCCCTCGTACAAGTTATACAATAACCAGCACCGGAATGGCATCACGGACGCAACTTCCCACAACGGCCGGTGCGGCAGGTGGAACTCACACGGGCCTCGACCCGCCCTTTTTTCTATTGGTGCTCAAGTTAAGGGATGATGGTACCGCCGTGCTATTGCTATTCAGCGCCACCGACTCTAACAATATGACGTTGTTCTTGACACGTTGCTTTCTGACTTCCGGGGCGAAGCGGCACGATTCGGCCATTGGGACAACCCTTTCAAAACTTTACTCAAATAGTGAGGAGACCTCAGGAATGGGATCTACTAAAGTGCACGCAGCGGCATAAAGCAGAGCTCGTTGAGGAAGAGAGGTGGGGGAATCCGAAATCGCCGCGCTCGGGCAGGGCCCCCAACGGGCCAGGATTCTAAAAACTTCGGGCGCCACGAGGTACCTTTTTATTTGTTTGTTCTCTCTCTCTCTCTCTCTCTATATATATACATATGTATATAGCCCGTCTCCACTTCCGAGGGCCATTCAAAGCACGCCGAGACGACCGGAAGGAGCGAGGCTGCGGAGAGGGCGCAGCCCATCAGATTAAGGCGCAGCCGATCTTTCTCGACGCTACGTGCGGACGGGAGCCAGGCAAAGGTAACAGCCAGAGGGCGCCGTGGCGACAGGCACAAAACACACCGAGATACCCCCGAGCATCGGAGAGGTTCGAAGGGCAAATTAAGTCAGAGAGCATCACTAAACACAGGGTGGCCAGCGGGTGGGAGCACTTTGAACCCCGATGGCAATGGAGACATCCCCATTGCGGCCCCCTCACGTGACACCTACGCAAACTGTTGTGAAAACGCACAGCCCGGAGGAGTTCGGCATGGACGAGCCGCTCCCGCTGGAGACGTACGCCGACGCGAGCTTCGAGGACGTTGGCGCACAGACGGGCGTCTCGGTGTACCTCCTCGGCTGCCTGGTCGATTGGCGCAGCGTGCGCCAGCAGGTCGCCCCGTTCAGCACTGCGGAGGCGGAGGTGAATGCACTTGCCGTCGGCGAGAACATGAGCGCTGCGGCTGCGGCCACGCTCGAGAGCATGGGGCTCCGAATGAGGCCGACACTGTACGGAGACAATGCCGTGGAGAACCACGTGGCAGAGGGGCGAGGCTCATGGCGGACACGCGCATTGTCCACGAAGGTAAACGCAATCCGCTCCAGGATGGCACGCGGGCAACTCGAGTTGCACTTCGTCGGCACCGCCGATCAGCGTGCGGACGGGCTCACAAAGTGCGGCGGTGTCCAGCATGCCGCGAGGATTCGCCAGCACTTCGGCCTGCGAGCTCTGGCGTAGGAGCGCAATTTTGTACATGAATTCTGTCTTGGATTTGTTGTAGGCGTGTACGGGTGCTTGGAGGTGCAAGATTGCACCCCCCACACCACCGCGCTAGACAGAGCACGGTGTTTGCTGCAGCCGCGGCCCCACCACGGCTTCAGAGGAGGAGCGTGCTGCGTCCGTATGTATGCCCTGGGAGACCACAGGACACGTTTTAAGGAATGCCAGCCCATCCTCCGATGTTGTTGCCCCCGGTGACTCCGAGGGACCTTTGGAGATGGAGGTTCCCACAGCTTGCGTCGATCTCTGCTGTGTTGCGCGGTGCGTGATGCATGGCACGGTATAGTTTCAGACGCGCGGGGAGCGTGGCAACACCTCCCCGCGCCAGATTTGTGTCTGCACTGTTTGGCTCAAGGCTCGACGTCCGAGCGAGGAAAATGACCGAATGGCGGAGCAGCGAAGCGCTGCAACGCCGTCTGCTCTGCCGTCTCTCTATCTCTCTTAACACCCTCCTCAGGCTTAGGCTACATCTCCCTATTGACAACTCTCTTCTCCATACTCTTCCCATTGCTCCGTCCGGAGCCCTGGAAATTCTTCGTCAGATCGTGCTGGGCGTGAGCATCGAAGAACTGGCAGAAGAGGAAGAATGAGCAACGATAGGATGTATTCTGCCCACCCGTTCGAGGACCAGCACCCGCTGATGTCCACAAGCAGCCCCCACCCCTCCCGACCCCCCCCCCTCCCAAGGGGGGGGGGTTCAACCCCCCCCCCCTTCGGCGCCGGCGCCGGCGCTGGCGGCACCCAGCAGCGCCCGCGGCGGGGACGCAGCGACGATGACCAGAGGCAGCCAGGGGGGGGGGAGGTTTCAAACCCTCTCTCCCCCCCTCCCAGGGGGGGGGTCAAAACCCAGCGCTGGCGGCGGCCAGCAGCGCTGGCGCTGGCGCTGGCGACGGCGGGGACGCAGCGACGATGACCACCACTACCACCACCACCACCACCGCTACCACCACCACCACCACCACCACCACCGCCTCAACCCACCATCACCACCACCACCACAAGCACCGCATAACCACAACCCACCACCACAGCCACCACTACCACCACAACCACCACCGCAACCCACCATCACCACCACCACCACCACAAAAACCAACCACCACTACCACCACCACCACAATCGACCACACCACCACCACCACCACCGCCACAACCACCACCACTACCAGCAGCACAACCCACCGCCACCGCCATAAAACCACCACACCACCACCACCACCACCGCCACCACCACCACCACCACCACAACAAACGTCCACAAACTACCGCCATTACCACAACCCACCACCACCACCAACACCACAAACAACCACCACACCACCACACCACCACAACCACCACCACCACCACAACTCACCATCACCACCACCCAAAAAAAACCCACCACCACTGCCACCACCACCAATCTACCACACCACCACCACCACCACCACCGCCTCAACCACCACCACTACCAGCAGCACAATCCACCACCACCACCACCACCACAAACCACCACACCACCACCACCACCACAAGCACCACCACCACAAGCACCACCACCACAAACCCCCGCCACAACCACAACTCACCACCACCACCACAAATCGCCACCACACTACCACCAAACCGCCACCACCACCACAACCTCCCACCACCACCACCACAAACCACCACCACACCACCAAACCAAACCACCACCACCACCACTTACCGCGACAACCACCACCACCACCACAACAAACCACCACCACACCAACACCACCACAACCACCACCGCCACAACCACCACCATCACAACCCACCACCACCACCACCACCGTCGTCTTCGTTGACGCTCCCCGCCACCGCCACCCGCCGATGCAGGCGCCGGCTCCGGCCAAGAAATGGAAATCGTCGTCCCCGCCGCCGTCGTCAGCCGCCGCCGACCCAAGCGCAGCGCCGGCCCGAGGAGAGGGGAAGCAGGGGGGGTCGAACCCCCCCCCGCCCTCTGTCATGAAAAGGGGGGGGGGGTCGAACCCCACGCCTGTCCGTCACAGGAAAGGGGGAGGGTTCGAACCCCCCCCTCCATCCAGGGAGGGGGTCCGGTTGCAACCCCCCCCCCCTCCAAGCGACCACAGAACGCGCTCTTTCGGACAAATGCAAGCACTGGCCGTCTTGAAGTAGTTCCGGCGAAATACATCGCGGCTACTGCACTCCTGTGTTTCGACGCCCCAGTTCGGGCACTTCACTGGCTGACCGTTGCGCGCAAAAGGGAACCGCGAAACAATGCCTTCCAAATCTAAACTTGGCATCTGTTTCAAATTATTGCGCATCTCGAAATTATGATCGGCCAGCTGGGCGGGCGCAATCAGAAGCAACCGTGCTCCAACCTGCAAGGTCGCTACGCTCAGGCTGCGCTGAGCTGCGCGATGAGAGGGCGCGACAATGGGCAGACATGATCTGAACGCCAAACGCCATCCGCACATGGCACATTCAGGGGCCTGTTGGCTCACTTGTAAAATGTTCGATTCGCTCCACTTTGTTTGATGCGCGCTGACTAAACTTGCCGTGGTGTTCATCTCGTTGAGTCACCTGTTGCGTCTTGCCTCTGCCGCCGAACTCTGCTCGGCCGCCGACTGCAAGTAGCTGCGTCCGGCGACGGCGTGGGCGATGGCTCGCAGGGCGGCGCAACATCCAAACGCGCACTCGGCTGCTCCATGGGCGGCCAGGGCAACGTTGAAGGTGGGGCACAAGGGATTACTTGAGCCAGTGGATTAGATGAGCCAATCACGACTACAATGGCGACTATAGTAGCGATTCCAATCACAATGTCAACGACGACTACAATCACGACTACAACCAAAACCGCTGATTCCCATTGCAATCGTGGGAAGATGCTCGCACATCCTCTTGCGCGCAGGGTGACCCGCAATGGAATGCCCCATTGGACAAAAAACAGCTATGATCCAGCCCACCGAACAATAAAAGGGAACTAAACAAAATATTCCCCGCCGCGACGGCAATGACGACTACGACAATGACTGCGATTACGACTAGTACCATGACTACCATGTCGACTACAATCACGTCTACATTCACGACGCCAAACCATAATACAACCACGACGATAACCACAAACGCTGATTCCCGGTGCAACCCTCATGAAAAGATGTCCACGCGTCCTCGGGGAGCCGAAGACTGTGGAAAGCCCTCGGTGACTCGTTCCCTCCAGGACGCGCTGAGTACGAGAAGGGCAGGACAGGGACAGCATCGGCGATCTCTGAGATCTGGCGGTTCTGGAAGATGTCTTGGGCGCCGCGGCCGCTCCAGAGCGTTCCAGAACGCTCTGGGAGCCTTCCGCGACGCTCTGGAGCGATGTAACCTTGCCCCAGCCCCGCCCGACTGAGCCCTCCGCTCCCTTCACGCCGAGACCCGCGGGAGGAGCAGACAGCGTCGGCCGCACGCGCTGGCGCCGCCGCCGCGGTGGGGTCCGCAAGGGCGTCGCCCAGGGGCCCGGCGACGCCGCGGGACTCGGCGGCCGCGTCGGCGGCGGCGCGGGCGGCGGCCAACTCGGACTCGAGGGCAGCCTGCAGATCCGCGAGAAGGTGCCCTCGTGCTCTTCCCCTCCTCCTCCCGCCTCTCCTGTCGCTAGCTCCTGCTCCCCATCGTCTTCGTCGTCACCCTCCTCCCCCCCTCCTTCCTCCTCCTCCCCCTCCTCCTCCTCCTCCTCCTCCTCTTTCTGCTCCTCTTCCATCCACTTTTCTTACGTCTGGCTCCTCCTTGTACCTCCTCCAGACGTGTTGGTAGGGCAGACCGGGCGTTTCGCCTGAGACTTCCTCGGCACTTATGATCCTGAAGCTTGAAGTTCGCAGCATCAAGGATAGAGCGAGCGGGTGGACTTTAAAATGTGGGTCTCGCCTTCAGTCCGCGCACATTCGTTCCGAAACCTTGCAACAGCTGGAAGAATGAAGGGCGGGTGGTTTTCAAAAAGAGGCTCTCGCCTAAGCGCCGAGCACCGTTTTTAAAGGTTGTAACAGCTTCAGGGATGGGGGCGGTCCTTTTCAAAATTCGGCTGTCGCCCCAGCGTCGCACACATTCGCATTCAGTTTGCAACATTTTCAAATATGACGAACGGATTGTTATCAAAATGTGGCTGTGGCCTCGCGCAGTGAACATTCGTCTCGAAGCCTGTTAGAGCCGTTAGCTCGCGGTGCTGCAGTCCCAGGACAATGGTCCTGGCACGATGCAGGACTGTCAGAACGCAACAGCCACGTTGATTCACGACGTTGAAGTCGCAGGAAAGGGGTTGTGGCACGAATGAAGATTCTCAGATGGTTGTCCTTCACTGGGGCGGTTGCCGCAATGAAATAAATTATTGGAGGGACTTCTGAAAGGAACATTTGAGGGAGGGTCTAGGGAGTCTAGTACAACATGGTTGGCGCGTTTGGGGTTTACGCTGGTCATCCTCCTCGTCCTCCTCCTCTTCGGCCTCCTGCTCCCACTCCCACTCCCCATGACCTGAGGAAATTTTGGTCACCCCACGAGCGGGCCCCACTGCTATGCTCCCGACTGCGCGCCCGTGCTTCCCCGGTCCAGCCATCCTCGAGTCCCGCGCACCGCTCGGATCCCGAGGGGCGCAGGCGGACGGCACACCACACCGGCAACAGGCAGCCGGAGCGCCGGCGGGACGCACGGAGTGCCCCAGACGCCAGCTCGAGGCGACACAGCAACACCAATTACGATTCCTCCTCTTCCTCCTTGCCCCCTACTCGTCGTCCTCGTCTTTGCTTTCACCCCAACGCCCTCGTCATCAAACTCTCCCGTGTCTTCCTGCGTCTCCTCGCCTCATGGTCATCACCACCATCATCAGCACCATCACCGCCACCATCCGCATCAGCATCAACATCCGCATCCGCATCATCGTCGTCATCAACATCATCATGATCATCATAATCATCACAACAGCAGCATCGTCACCATAACCATCATCATCGTCACCACCACCATCGTCATTACCATCATCTTTGTCACCATCATCATCATCACCACCATTATCGTCATTATCATCACCACCACCACCACCATCGGCATCACAATCATCATCCTCATCGCGGTCATCATCCTCATCGTCACCACAAGCAACACAGCCCCATCCTCATATTAGTTTTCCCGTCATATGCATCACCACGATCATCACTATCACCATCACAACCACCATCAGACAGTTGCAGCACCTTCATCATCACCATCATCATCAGCACCAGTATCATTACCTCCCCACCATGCTCTTCTCATCCGCACATCGTATCACCAGTATGGCCATCATCAGCATCACCATCCTCATCATCACCATCATCACAACAGCGTCCTCATCACAATTACCGTCATAAGCATCATCATGACCAGAACATCGTCGACGTCGCCGCCGTCATCATCATCACCATCACCATCAGCATCGTCATCAGCAACATCAGCATCACCATTATTGATCGGGGGCGGGCGGAAGAAGAGGGCAGTCCCTGACTACAACTTACAACCTGTGACTCTGATCGTGCGTGGGGGGGGAGTTGTCGCAGGGCGCGCTGGCCCGTCGGCATGGGGGGCGCGAGCCTGCGCAGAGAGCTCCTGCACCGACGCAGGCCAGGACAACGCGATGGCGCTGCCACCTCGGATGCGAATCCAGAGCCACGCGAGAGAGTGAACAACGGACGATGTCTTACCCAGGACAGCCGGCGAAGCCAAACGGGTAGGCGGGGTCGCACGGGGCCCAATGGGCCAAAGACACACCAGAAACTAGGCATTCTGGCACGCGGGTTCAAAAGCAAAGTGAATCATACCTGGCGCCCCGCGTTTGCGGATAAGCTTGAATAGGCGGGCCGCGCGCGTGGGAGCTGCGCAAGGCCGCTCGGCCCCTCATCCTGATGAACTGTTTTGAAAGGGAAACGGGCCGAATTCTTCCCTGAGCAACTGCGGTTGCAGAGCGGTCCCGCCTGCGACCCCCCGCTGCCGAACGTGTCACGCGGCGGCGCCTCTCCCCGCCATGCCCCGCCGCTCGGTCTCACCCACGGCATGGCCATTCTCGACCGGGGGGGGAGGAGGGCAGGCCCCAGCTGAAATCTATGGCATGAATTTGAACATGCCCGGGGGGGGCCCTGTCGCAGGGCGCGTCGGCGCCACGGCAGCGGCGGCGCGAGCCTGCGCTGAGAGCCCCAACGCTGGCGACGGATATCAAGAACCACTCCCCAACGCCGAGGAAAATACGGCGAAGACACACGCGCGCACGTGGACTGCGCGGGAGCGACTGCATGGGCGCAGAGAGACGCGAAGCGCAACTGGAAGGGGGCGCGTTCTCTTTCCTTTTACGGGGGCGCGGGCGCGTCCGTCACCGGCGCGCCACGATAGCTCAAGGGCCTTTGTGAGCCGATATGGCGGCGCACAAGTGAACGCAGACAGAGCCGCTTGAGGAGGAGAGGCTGACAAGGGCCTGACAACCGCAGCTCCTGCAACCAAAACGCCGCCACGCCTCGGAACATGAAATTCCTCCCGCTGTTGATGCCGCAGTGATTCCACGTGCCACCAGAGCCTCAGTGACGCGCAGCTGGCACGGCTTCACGATCACGTGGGACTTGAAAGCATCTGAAATAGATCTCCATGAAAGAATTGCCCGGCCCGGAGTCCATGATGAAGTCATCCGACTTCGCTGCGTCCGTAGCCTGCCCCATCTGATCCATGAAGTCTCGATTTCGCGGTGGTCGCACTGTTGGCCCGTGCGCCCCAGGAACGATCTGCCGCGCTGAGCCCCCTGTTCCACTGAGGAACCCATTCATCGCGATTAGGAACCAACTTGGCCTCGAGAGTCGACAAGTCGGAATCCTCGGTCGCGTAGTCGGATTACGCGTGGACACTCGGGAACGCGGTCGGGATGGCCATTGCCGGCATGTACATCCTGGCCGTGCGATTCCAACCCCTGCACCATCGAAGTACTTGCTCCGTTGCCTGTAGCTTGTCCCAGAAATCCCCCATCCTCGCAGCGCGAACCCAAAGCGCATTGACGTAGACGCTGCCTTCGGTCTGGCACCGCTGCCTGTGGACATGCAACTTGGGATAGCCTGTGCGACGATTGCGATCCACCTGCAGCTCGAAGATGCAAGAGCACGGGCTCCTCTCAGGGCAGACATCAAGCGACGCATGCACCATGTAGTGGCCGCGAGACGCACGGCAAAAGGCCCTTGGCAAGAAATGCCGCATCCGTTTTCACAGCTCGAAGGTCCCGGCGCCAACTCGAACAAGCCCTTCTTGCTTCAATGGGACGCCAACGCTCCCAGTTTGGCACCGTGGAAGGCAGTTTCGATATAGGCCCCCTTGTTGTTGAGCCGCCTTGTCACGCTGCATCTCCCTCGCGAGCATCCGCGCCAAGCCCGCTATCCACAACTGCCCGGTTGGATGCGCAAGTGGCCCTTGTAACGGGGGCCGTCGATGGGCCCCGAGAGATGCCCGCGAGTAGAGCGGGCGTCTTTGCCCCAATTTGAGTTTCCAGAACCGCCGCGACCGAGGCAGTCATAATGAAGGAAGGCGTCGAATAAATTGCCCATTTTCGCATCGGCCTCGCGGCCCGTCTCCCAGCGGTCGCTCATCATCTGGTTGAAGACCCTCTTGTTCAACCTGGGCAGCTTGCACGGCTTCCTCTGGTCGGCACTCATGTAAGTTTCTTCAGGCCCACGAAGTATCTCACCCTTCTCTGTGGAGGCCCTTTCTGTCCTGGAGCAGCGGCGTAGTGATCAGTAGCCACTGCAGCCGTCATGGCCCCGGAGACGGTTCCGCCCATTGGCGGAGAATTCTCGACGCAGCCCCCGACTGCCTCTCCGAGGATCTTGATCTGGTCCAAGATGTCCTCGATGGCCTTCTCGCCTTCTTTCGCCAGCTCCCACCAGCTGTCGACCATGAACTGATTTCCTCCTGGGGGTGCCATGGGTGTCTACCGATATTCGGAAGTTCGTTGCAGTTCATGTTGGGGGCGATGGCCAGCGCTGCAGGTACCCAACGAGGCAGATCACCACATGGCGTGGCGACGAGATCTGGCACCGGCTGAGGATCGGAGGGGCCCTGGAGCTCAGTGTCCGCGCACGCCAGGAAGTGCGCATGGAGGGCCTCGCAGTCACCGCTCGTCTCGAGCCTTCAGGTAGCCCTGCCGATTCCGCACTCAGACGCGTTGCGCGACTCAATCAGGCCCAAGGCGATGTCGAGAGGCATTTCCGTCGACAACTTCAGCCAGACACGGAAAATCGACTGCATCGGGCACTGATGGTGCACGGCCATCATCTCCGACGTGTGATCGCTGAAAATCGCGTTGAGGCTCGGACCCTGGGTGATCGGCTGAACACGGCTCTTTAGTACTGGCTAGTAGATCACATGATTGGTAGGCCAGCCTTCCTCTCCTTTCGAGTTCGGATGGCTGGTCTATCGCCTCCGCCTGCTTCGCCAGGATCCTCTCCTTCTGCGGGATCCTCTCCCCCTCCGCATTCGCGATGTAGCGCAGTGGCTGATTGCTTGCTGGCTGGTGGTCTGGTAGCGCGACTAGGTCGTCCAC